TCAGGGACTCGGGCATTTTCAGGCTGACATGAGTTATTACCGTGTGAATGATAAGTTTGTTTTGATTAATGGGATGACGTGTAACTGGTTTTATGTGCGTTTGGTGAGATATGAAGATTTTGGTGTCATCCAAGAACAATCAATCTGGCTTTCACTGTCATTTCAGAAATACCGAAAGCGTCCCATGCTGACATGTTTCCAATTTATTATTACAGATTTGCTTCTTTTCTCTGTGCCATCCCAGCATTGGCTCTTATTCTTGTCTTTCAAACTGTCTCCACAAGCTATTGGACAACAAAAAACGTGATATACTCACCGCTAAGGATGTCAGTCAATGGGGCAGGCCACTGTACGCCATTGAAGAAGACGTAAAATCATCCTTTTTCTAAATAAATGTAAGTACCTCTATCTGCTCTCAACTCAACGAAAAGCCCAAATCTAAATAGTCCAAAGTTGATGCCAAAGCAGTTTAAAACGAGCCGCTGCCGAAGTTGTTCAGCTCCGTCGCATCATCCCGCCCACCAAACCGAGCACTGTGATTGGCATAACACAAGACTGCTCAGGCCAGTGGTTTACCTGCTGAGGCTCCAACAAAGCGTGGCTAGACCGCCATGCCGAGAAAATCATTTTTCTTTGGCTACTGTCCATCTAGATTTCTAAGCTAATGCGGCAGTGAGGTACTTTTGATCACCCGAGGACCGTACCACTGCATTGTTTCAAGTGCAGCTAGATTAGAAGATAGCCAACATAATCTCCCATCTGAACTCCTACCTCATCTGAGGTGACAGAAGAGAAGCTGGTATTTTATGGAGGTGCTAGTTGGTTATCTTTTTGAAGTTCCTTCCAGGAGCCATTCAGAGTTGGGGCAACAGTACCGGTGTCGTTTTCAACCAAATGATTCATTCTCTCTGCACTCGTAGACCTTTTACTAGGCTTATCTCTTCAGGCTGACATCCAGATGTGTGATCTTGTTGCAGCTCCTGTGGTGGAGCTCTGGCTTTATAGGGTCCAGGACTTCGAAGGAAGGGCGCTGGTGGTCTGCTCTATCTGTTAGGTCATCGGGAACATTTCATGGTTGGATGTAAGGAGCCAGCAGACTGCCTGCCAGTGAGGAGAAGGATTAGGGGTTTTATTTTGCACAGGTAGAAGAGGAACAGGGGTATATTTTCTACAGCTGTGGCCAAATGCTTAGAGAATGATAGAAGTACTCGCTCGTTGCTTTGGTATTTTAGATATCTTTGCCAGATGTTTCCACTGAAGTATATTTACAACCATTTAAAAACTTTTATTGACAATTACATCAGGTTTATGCAAAGAGTCAATCACTGCAGTGTTGGTCCTCTTTTGCATGGCCTCTACAGTTCACCCTGACATGCTGTCAATCAAATTCTGTTTTAAATTCAGAATGATTCCAGCTATCTGTCTGTCTGTTTGTCTGTCTGTCTGTCTGTCTGTCTGTCTGTCTGTCTGTCTGCGTGTCATGCTGGAAAAGGCATTATTCATCAGCAAATGGTTTTAGGTAGTTGTGAGGCGTCCCTCTAGGAGGATGGTTTGGTACCATTCAGTATTCTGAAGCTAAAATGTCTGAGAAACTGGTCCTGTTGTGTAGTTGACGATAAACCCCAGCAAGCTTAGGCAAAACGGGATGAAAAGGTGCCTTGGGGGGTTCTGTAAGGTGGTTTACATAAGCAGGCAATTTACTTTTTCCATAATATGTTAAACTGAACTTTTTTGTTATGTCGTTTTTGTTTTGTTTGAAGTAGTCCTAAGCTTTTGACAATTGAAAAGGAGATGTACACAAATAAGATAAATTAGCTTAAGAGTTATTGTTTTACATATTGATTAGATTAGATTAGATTAGATTAGATTAGATTAGATTAGAAATTCAACCCTGTGAACCTCTGATGGTGATGAGGATTTATGCACCAACTCTCCCTGTGTCTTTTTATCGTTTCCCTCACTTTTATATCTAAACTTCCCCTCTTGACGCCTCTTCCTTTCCATGACTTGGTCCTTTCACTCTCTTCTTTTGAACTCGACGGGAACAGAACGTTTCTAAACTTTCCCAGGGAACCTCCCTTTAGCCCCTTGTTGATTTTTCTTTCAAGTTCATTTTCAAACAGAATTTATCCATATTAAATAGATGATAATACATATCAAGGCACTGCAATGCCCACATAATCCTTCAGTTCTCCTTGTTGCTGTTGTTGTTTGGGGGGTAGGTGTGTCGCAGTCGTAAGTCGGAGGCCAGCTGAAGCTCTGGTCTGAGTGAGTGTAAAGACTGAACTCCTGCCCACACTGATGCATGACTTCAGTCCTACACAAAGAGCAGCTTGTGGAGAACTTCCTGTGTGAGGATTCTTACACTTGTGGGCATGTTGAAGAGACGGTTGAGGTCAGGCAGAATGACTCTGGGAGGTGCCTCTGCTTTTTGTTGAGCTCTCCGCTTTCTCTCATTCATCCCGTCCCATCGTTCTCTTGTTTAACACCCCATTACTCGCCTGTCGTCCGGCCTCCCTTTTCACTGCACTTCCTCTGTCTTTATTCCCTGTAAAACACCACGGATCAGAGTGCAGCTCCAACGCTCCGGCTCGCCCCCTCAGCTCGAGACAATCACTCTTTCCCTCTGGTGTTGCTCTTTATACGCTGTAAATGGTATCAGGGCATGTGGAGCAGGACGCTTAATGATTTTTCTTCCACGTCCAGCAACAGCTGGTGGTCGGCCAGAGCTCACCACATTGGCTTTCCCCATCCTGAAAATGCGCATCCATGGTTTTACAAACCAGTTTATAGGATGGCAATGATCTGAAAAATGGCTGATATTAAATAAACAAAGAGGCCACAGTGTTGAAATTTTCCTAGATTCAACTTCTGTGTGGTTGCGTTTCCCCCACTGCAACAGTCTTCAGAGTTTTATATCATGTGTGGGGATGAGTCTGTAAAATGCATTTTCATCTGGTCCAACACTTTGGTCCAGGGTGCAAAAACCCGACTCCCACCAGACGGGCTGCTGTGACATTTAGTCAGAAGCTCGGGACCACAAACCTTTTGGTGAATTTATATCTCAGATACTAATAGTGGGCTTATTTCTACCATTTTTGGTCAAATCTAAACTTTGTGCAAACATCAGGAGGGGGCAGGACTGTTTTTTTTATATATATATAATGAATTGTATAATTCTCCTTTTATTTTTTAGGTATTATCAGGGAGAAATGTTTCTTTGTGCTTGGTCAACATGCAGATCGTATACATATGTCCTGGTCACGTCTTGGGGGGGGGGGGGGGGGGGGTACTTCCTCACCCTAAAAGTGCTTTATTTTTGGATTCAGGATGCCAGATTCAGGCAGAGTAGTGCTTACATCCCTGACATTGTTCCTATTTCCTGGAAGGATCCTATGTCTTCTAATTTTCTATGAATGCGTTAGAAATATAACCAGCTAAACCCGTACCGAGCCTTTACACTTCACGAGTAAGCGGCACGTAAAATAACCAGAGCGTTTTTCTTCAGCTCCCTTCCCACGGAGAGCTTTTCAGACGCAAAACAGCCCCCAAAGCGTTCCAAGCAGCTGGTCCCGCGAGATCACACCATTTATTTAGTTTCTGTTCTGTTTACCTCGGCTGTAGAGTTTTCACAGGTAACCATGTATTTTTTTACTTGTATTTACTAGTTAACTAGTCCAGAAAACAGCAGAGAATGTCTCGGCTAGCTGGCTAGCCGTTAGCATGAGCGACTCCACCGCAGAGCAGCGTCAGCGGTGGAGTCGTACCGCTGTTAGCCAATTAGAGGCGAGATGTCCAAATATCAGGAAATAAGTGTGGCAAGGTGGAGAAACGAGGGCCCGGGCGGGATTCGATCCCCAGACTCCCGGGTGAGAGTCACACGCTCTAACCGGTCAGCCAAAGGGACATCCCCTTGGCCAAGTAGCCAGGGCGCATGATCAATCGGGACACTGTGACAGGATAAGTGTCCACCTTGCCACATAAGCCTTCAAATCCTGTCGTCTGAAGCTACTTTCTCCTTCAGCTGACTTCTACGTCCTCAAACGGATGATTTACAAGCATCCATTCATTCCTACTAGAGAGCTCTGCAAATGTGTTAAAAATAGGAATAAACTTGGGCTTTAATGGTGTAAAGCGGCTGCTGCCCCATCTTCAGTACCTGCTTCGATGTGGTTCCAAGCGTACCAAGCCGGGTCAGGATTAGACGAGGCTGCTGCCCTCACCGCCTGGATCCAGGTAAGCAGACGAACATGGTTAGACGCTTGAGTTGTACCATGTAACTAGAAAAATAGCTCAACACATGGCTTAAAACTACATATTGACTAATTGGTTTCTTTCAGAAACTACAGATTACCCCCCTGAGTGTCTGTGTCCTCAAATGATACCTACACTGCAATATTTTAGCTTAAAGTTAACTTTTTCTGTATGTAACTAAAGGTTTTCAGCTTGTAATTGTTCAAAATGTCCGTGAGGAGGACTTACAAATAAAAACACCAAACAAACGCCCAGGTCTCAGGAGGTTAATTACATATTACGGTATTTTTAGAAATGCAATTAATTCACCATAAATGGACGGCCTCTACCGCGAAGTTCTGCTCAATTTGCCGCCGGAGTCCATTGTTCCCTCATAAAATCAGAGTCTGTTCTCGGTCAGCCAAGGAAGGAACCTGCGATTAACCTTCATTAGTGGCCTGCTGAGGGCACATGTTGGTGAGATCCAATTTTGGGGCATATTTCTGTTCTGCTCTAGAAGTTTTCCAAAGTATGTGGATATTTTTTCAATTCCAACCTCAGTTAACCATTTATGTAAAGAATAATGTGCATTTCATAGAATCTCAGGTGTTCAGCTTCACTAGAGTCTTTTTTTAAAGGTTTTATGTTAAATTTAGCTTCTATTTTGTGTAGATCTTGTCTTTTCCTGTTCCACCACGATGACGGCACCATGAAGGATGCAGGGGATAATATTTTTTGTTTACACCTTTTCTGTTTGTTCTCTCTAGATGGAGAAGGAGCAAACCAGATCCAAATATTTTTCCAGTGTGGGAGAAACCCAAGAGCTTTTACACAACCCCACAAAAACAAAGAAGGCTGTGCTTCAAAAGATGTGAGTGTGATCTCATGCTTTCCAAACCCACCAGTCAAAGAGGACATGTTGGTTTTTTGTTCATCTTTTTTTATTTCTTTTTTCAGTACCAAAGAAGCTAGTGTCCAGCAAGAGAAGGAGCAAATGGACCAGAGAGCCTCTGTCAAAAGCCAAAAACTGGAGCTAAAAGCTGCAGAGTCAGAATCAAGCCTGGAGGTCACGCCCAGGTCTGAACCGGAGGAGAGAAACCACACAGTGCCTCTCAGCTGTGCCTCAACCGAATCTGAGGCTGAGATGAGGTCTGCTCAAGAACCAGAAGCTGAGCATGAAATAGTTCCTAAGAGCAACAAGAGGTGCAAGCCAGGTGATGATGGGTACGATGCTAGCTTGCAGCGAACCAAGAGAGTGTGCCATGGCAGGCCTCCAGCTAGCAAAAGCTCCACGCAAACATCCATCCACGACCTTCCTCCCCTTCTGCCACTTCCCTCAGTCCAAGTCAAGACGAAGTCCAAGGCTTTCCCTGCCTTAGAGTGTGAAAAAACCTCACTGGAAGTAGAGCTGCTTACTCCAGGGAAACAAGCCCAGAGGCTCCCCCTCACAAGCAATAACACAGCACAGACAATCCAAAACAGGCCGGCCGCAAGTCTGAGGGGCCTATCTGTCAGGCCCGCATCCTCAGGCAGCTCTATTGGTTCCAGATCCACAGTGGGAGAGGAGGGGAGCGAGAATGTGCCCAGAACCTCGAGATTACGACGAATGAAGAGGTCCTGAAGGGGAGAGAAACACAGCAAAGATTCCCGACGCCAGCGATGGAGATTATATTCTGAAAGTTGTTTGTAGTCCATATGGTGACTTCTGATGACTGTACGCGTGCTTTTGATAACACACACACACACACACACCAAACCCTAACAGTTCTGTCAACTGATACACGACTGCTCGAGCGTTGCTTTGTTAAATACTTGAAACAGAATTCGCCTCCACCCTTAAACGGCGGTGGCCAAGAGAGGCTCGCAAATAAAAGTCAGAAACCTTTAATTGGAGTTTAGATTTGGTTTTGTGTTGAAGATTTGGGGATGTGAGACAGGCAGGAGCCATGCAGTGTGTAATGGCTCAGAGTTGCTGAAACTCTGGCTCCTACGAGTCTGAAAACTGTCCAGTATCCCTGCTGAAGCTCTGATGTGATTGATGGGGGTTTCCAGATTTATTTCATCACCCCATTCTTTAAAAATGGACTTTTCTCGTTTGACTTCTTTCACATACGGTTTACTTAACCCTGACACGCCTGCAGCAAAGCTCTAAACCAGAGGCTTTTAATCTGAACTTGAATAAGTGTAATAAATAAGAAAACAAAACATCTTTCTCTGGACTTTAATCCTGTCAAACTTATTCTGAAGAGATTGTCTTAAGCTCCAGGGGTCTCATTTATCAAACATGGCGTAGAATCCTTACTAAAACCGTACTTAAGCTCAGCAAAAATATGTACTTACACCCATCAGGTGTGTGATCTATCAGACATGGAGGACACACAGCTGCACGCAATCGCCGCTTCATAAATCAGAAACTATCTCGACAGGTTCTCAGCTGCTTTTTAGTCACATCCCGCCCTCACCACGCCCACTTACTGCCATAAATAGTCAATGCAAAGGGCCTTGTGGACCTCATGCATATACATAAGCCGGCTGTTGCAGCGTTCCACCAATGACATAGCGACCGTAGATCAAGGCAGATCAAGGAAGCAGAAGTTGAGGTACCTGTGGGTGAGGTGGAGAAATGAAAGGAAGTGCTTTTGCAAAACAAATTAGAGAAAATCCACGGAGTGGCACAGCGTTGCTGAAGCCGTCAATGTTGTGAATTCTTCAGAGAGATCTGTGGCGGATATAAAAAATGGTCCAATCGGGATTCAATCCCCAGACTCCCGGGTGAAAGTGACACATTAACCAGTCACCCAAACAGAGATCTCCCCTGTACAAGTAGCCAGGGCGCATGATCAATCAGGTCACAGTGACAGGACACACACTGTCACACACGCATGATGTTCTGTCTCAATCTGTCCCCCTGCTGATATTCTGTATTCTGGGCTTCAGGCTGTGTGTGTGTGTGTGTGTGTGTGTGTACAAGTGATAATGCTGCAGGATTTCATAACTGTATCTTCTCAGCAGCAGCACTGCAGGTGCTCTCCATGTCCAACGTGTGCGTAAGCCAGGTCCTTAGTCAGCTTAAAGTTGCGCACATTCTGCTAAGTTTTCTTTCATAAATCCCAAAGCTTGCGTGGAAAGTTGCTTACGCAGTTTTCCGACTCCGTTTTGTGCGTAAGCTAGCTTGATAATCGAGGCCCCAGGTCTGCTGCTCTGAAAAGTTTGAAAAGGAAATCCGTGGACTTAAAAACACCAACAAGGGAAACCTTGTCTGAGGATCATGAGGCGTGAGGGTATTTCTGTCTCCGTGATTGACTTAATACGATGATGGCGAGCTGCAACGCAATTAGCAGTAAACACATTTGGACCAGTGGGTCTAAGATGCGTCTCCAGCTCCGGTTCCCACGCCAGCTGCATGAGAACGCTCTCACGCGTGCGTCTCAGACAAGACTCGTAACTCGCTCTCCAGAACAAAGACAACTTTAATTCTCTTTTCATACAAAATATTTAATAAATATGACTTTCAAAAAAATATTGCCAGATCAACACAGTTCTCAAAGTTCGTAACAAAAAAAAATTGGACAAAACTGTCGTTATGTGAAAAGGGTTAACAGAGGAACTGAAACAAGCCTCGTTTTTTCCTTGAGAAGAAACAAACGTGCACAGAAACGGAGCAGACTCTTGCAGAGTGAGGCAGCGTATTTCTCTAACTCCAGTGTTCCCATTGCCCCCCACTGTTCAAGTACTCGAGGTCTAGCTTGTGCTGACTAAAGCAGATGGGAAGTCTGGCGTGTCGTGCTGATGCGACTTTTCTGAAATACATCAACATGTTAGAAACCAAAGCTGCTGAAGAATTCCTGTTCCCTTAAAAGTATAAATCTATTAGTGGCAAGCAATATGTCTGCCACTGTGTCCAACCCTGGCAGCGGCTGGGATCGTCTGTTGTCCTAACCTCGTTTGTCTTTAATGGAGAGGAGAGAGAGAGAGAGAGAGAGGAAAAAAGGTTCTGGCAAATAAAACGTGAAATGTCAAACGAACGTAAAAGCAAAAAATGGACTTTCAAGCCCAAAGTGCCCATCTTTTGTCTTCGGAAATTCTTAGAAATTTGGCTTTCATTTGAAAACAAATGTTTTTTTAAAGAAATGGTTTGGCGTCCGCATCTATCAAAACCTTCAAACTAGACAGAACATATAAATAAAAAGGAATGATATCTTAAGGCTCTTGATTATTAAGTTAATAAATCAAATATACACAATGATTAATAAAAAATGTACATATCTACACGTTCTAAATTCATAAATTCTTCATATTGGTAGCAACTGCTGACATCAAACCCTCTCTTCTCCCCCGCAACGAAATAAAAATAAATAATAAAGTGGATTTTTTTCCTTTATTCGACAGTAGCTGAAGTCTAAAGCTGAAAAGGCACTTTCTCAAAACAGAACTAGGAGGAATCGAACGCAGACAAAAAACCACAATCAGCTCTAGTGTTGAACACGTCGGGTAGTTCTAGTCACTCTACAACAATTACACCAGAAGCCTCGAACATTTGTCCAAATTTAAAAAACAGAAAAGGAAATGAAATGCACAGGAGGACACTTTTGCAAGTAGTTCCACTGTGAAATGTTTTCTAGTGCCTTGTTGTGTTTCGTTTTCCAGCCACCCAAAGCAACCGTCACTGCCAGTGTAAGCCAGCTTGTCAAAACTTAAATTAACACGGAGAACATCGGAAAATACTGTGTGTGTGTGTGTGTGGGGGGGGGGGGGCACATCTGGCACGAGCGTGCACGGGCCACACGTGCCGGAGCGCCCCGGTTTCACCCACCACCTGGGTGTGAAGGAATAAGGCTTGGTTGCACGGCAACACAGCTGTCTGCTATACAATATAGTCCATCCTGTTTATGCTGTTTGCTGTCTCCAAGTCTCTGTTGTCCTGTTTGTTAGTCCAGTTAGGATGCTTGGACGTCGGGTTAGAAGTGGAGATGGGGACCTTCTCGTCCCTCTCCACCAGTGTGTATGCTGGCTGTTTGGCAAAGCGGCCCTTCTGCAAGTGCCTCTCCTTGTCATCCTCATCCCCTTCGGAATGATTTGTCCGTATTTTGGCAATGATCGAGTTCTTGTTCTCGTAGTCTTTGATGGCCACCGTGAGGCCCACGTGCTTCTCGATGGGGTTCTTGATCTGGTTGAGCTGCTCGCGCACGTTGTTGGTCGTGCCGTCGTCGGAGCCGTTTGGCGACGTCCCGTTGTGGTTGCTCTGTTTCCGCCGCCGCCGCATGCACCACAGCAGGATGCAGACCAGCACGAGGGCCCAGATGACGATGAAGACTGAACTGAGGAGGGGCACTAGGTAGTCTGGTGGGAGAATACGGTCACATGTCAGAGAAATGCCAACAATTAAAAAGGGCTGATTATTTCTTTGAGGATTCAGTGACTTTTGGTTAGAGCCGCTTCGTTATCGGAAACAAAATATTTAATCAACACAGGATAGACGATGCGATACGCTACGATACTCCAGACGATATCTGCCATTTGTAATTGGAAAACTCAGGCTTCTAAAACACATCCAGCGTCATCGCAAGAGCTCGTGGTCCCATCAAAACTGCTGCCATGTTGCAGTCGGAGTTTAAATTGCACCACACACACACACGCACACGCACACACACACACACACACACACACACACACACACACACACACACACACGCACGCACACACAGAGAAAATATTTGAATGTAAATGATCTAAAACAATAAATCGATACACTACTATCGATTGAGTATCATAAGATGAAATATGATATTTCGCTGCATCTATATTTTTACATACTGCAGTACAGCTTACCAAAATAAGAGTATGGAGGATAAGATAAGAGTGTGACCCGTTGCCAAACCTTCCACCAGATGCGTGTCTTCTACCGTAACAGACGCGTTTTACCCTTGAGCGCGTCCCATCCCACTGCGAGTGCTTCAGACGCAAAAGTGTTCCACGCAGTCAGTCCCGCAAAATTTCAAGATCACGTGTGACCAGCAGTTCACGCAATAACACGCGAGAAGAAAGATGGCAGCATGTATCCAAAAAGATCTGGTTTATTTTCTGTTCCGTTTACCTCTGCTACGGAGGCGTCGTGGGTAAAGACGTAGCGCTTTACTAACTAAACACCTGGAAAACGGTACGTCTTATTTTGAAAGATGCTGGATGTTTTACGCTGCTTTCGTGTTAGACTTCCTGTTTTGGCCCGATCTGAACTGCTGCACCCGACTTTTTCTGGATGTGAAAAAAACTCAAAAAGTAAATTTTGCAGAGTCCATCGACTTTAGCGGCGGCTGATTGCTGCGTACTTCGCTTCGGACATCGCGCAACACACGTTCAGCTTTAATTTCAATTCAGTTAAAGCGCCAAACCACAAGTCGTCTACTGTAGGCGCTTTACACAAACACTCCAACCGAGTTCAGTTCTCTGACTACCGTATTTTCACGACCATAAGGCGCACCTAAAAGTCTTACATTTTCTCAAATGTACACCGCGCCCTATGGTGCGGTGCGCCTATTGTGTTGTTGTGAGACGCGAAAGTAGTAGAAGACAAGGGGCGTGGCGTGGACATTTGTCGCCTCCCGTGTGTCCAGCCCACAACTCCGCTTTTACGTTGCCTATTAACAACATTTAAAAACTGGGGTGTAGTTTATAATCTCCTTTTTAAAGATTAATTGAAACCGAAACTCAGGGAGGCGGAGTCTTGCTGCTACAGCGTCCCAAATCAGACCTGATCTAAAGACGTGGATACGCGTCCGTGGACCCCAGAGGGTTAAAAAAACAATTCAATTCACACGATTTTCTCAGGCCTTTTAATAACACACATATGATTTTGTTCATGTGGAAAGTTTATGTGGTTAAATCCACCAACTACCAGTAAACACATTCTGAACTTCAACACAGCGCATCAGCGCTTGAAGCGGCGCTGCGACCCAAAAAGTACCAGAACCGCTCACGGCGCATGCGCAATCATGCATCAACACCGCTCCCCGCTATTTCCCTAATAACACACGCTGTTCGTTTTTATTTCTACACGTTTTTTTACTCACAAAGATTATCAATAAGGCGTGTTTGTTGTGTTCATGTCAAATTAAACTGATCACAAAACACAGATTTACTTTCTTTATTTCGTTTCCTCATCCAACCCCCATAAATCCCCGTGTGTCCTCCTGCAGCACTCCCGGTGTACGCCGGCTTTAGTAGGAGGGAGACCCGCGATTGTCGCTTTGTCGCGCATGTCTCATTGAAAATGAATGGAGGAGAGGCGAAGTTGCCTCCCGTGTGTCGAGCCCATTAGAAGAGCACGAGCCGTCAGCGCACGCAATGAGGAAGTGCACGTGCGCTCTAAACCAGGTCTGACGCAGGACTAGACCAGTAAAGTGAAGCATGCTTTTGGCTGTTTATAATTTTCACAATGTCTGGTTTGCACTGATATGTTCCGAGTCCCGAGCCCGCACAGATGTTTTACCGTGCCCCGCCCTATAACCCAGTGCGCCTTTTGTATGTGTTAAATACCAAAAGGACACCTGTAACTGAAGCTGCGCCCTATAACCCAGTGCGCCCTATGGTCGTGAAAATACGGTAGTTAACTTTTGCAAGTTGAAATCCGGCAGATTGCGTCGAGTCACTGAATTGTGCCAGTAAAGGTGGTTTTCCAGCCTGAAACAGCTGTGTGGAGCACGGTTTGAATCAGCCCATCGGAGTGCAGCTTTGTTCCCATGCCAGCGTCATGACGGAAAGTGGGCGATTTTTACTTGTGAAAAACAGCACGAGGTGATCCGTGAGCGGTGTAAGGTAACCTGTACGCTCCACAGAAACACAACTTAGCTGGAAAATGTTGGTCCTGCTGAACATTTTGCTCAGTTTTCTCTTTTTGTCAGACTGAACCAGGAAATGGCTGCAGGCAGTGAAACAGAAAGCAACAAACTCCGGAGCAACCAGTGATTCCGTCTTCTAGCCAATCAGCGGCCAGAACCCCGATGCTTCCCCGACTCAGCCTTGCCAGGTACCTCAACGGAGCGGGGACTAAAAATAGGGGAGAAAGTAGAGGGAAAATACCGAACCGAGCCGAATCGGTCCGAGTTGCTCCTGGAAAACCACCTTTAACTTTACAGCACTCTCCATTCTAAACCAGCATGTAGTGACAGTGGAGAGGAAAACTCCCCGTAAACAGGAAGAAACTTCCAACCGAACCTGGATCGGTATGAGCAGCCGTCTACCGTGACCGGCACCTTCAGCACAAAGCTTTCTGATTTAGTAAAACCTAAAACATCCAAGGACAAATGAACGTCCAGAGCAGTTTAGCGGTCAACAAAATAAGCAACGAGTTTTTACTAAAGCAGAGAAAAGTTGCTATGGAAGCCTGGGGGTCCGAGCAGGCGGTGAGTACAGGAAGTGGACAGGGAACGCCAACGCTTGGAAGTAGATTTCTCTGAACGTCGTTCATTTAGTGAGTTTTCACTAGATTAAACTGAATCTTGAGCGACGAACAGGAAGGAGACGCCGTCGCTGCTGACGGACGGTGGACACATGGTGGACACATGGAGTCGTGCCAGTCGCAGTACAATTATCAGCCGAGTGTGTGAAAGAAGAGTGACTTGGTTCATACCGGTCTTGCTGGGGCTCGGCACGCGGACTTTGGTGATGGCAGAGAGGATGGTGTTGTTCCCGCTGCGTTTGCTAACCAAGTCCATTATTTGGTCTGTGATCTTCTTGATGGGACTGTGGTCCAAACGATGATCGTCAGTAGACTAGACAGAAGGGAAGACGTTTAGAAACCCTTTACTCCACAGAGTCTAACGTACACCACAGGCTAGGAATCAAATAGAAGCACATGGCCGACCGGGAACAGGAGGAGGTACTCACAATGCAGACGTGGATCTCGTTGCTGGCCGAGAACGACGGGTCACAGGTTATAGACACAGAATGCTCCAAGGAAAAGTTCTTGACTACGTGCAAGAGCCTCAGCTGCTTACACACTCCCTCCACGGTCAAACCCTGCAAAGGGAGACGAGGCGGCTAGCGTTAGCGCATATGGAAGCGGGGCGGTCGGGACTGGAAGGCGGACCGGACCGCTCGTCTGACATCACATCCGGATGAACTAAAGTTTGGTTCATTTGCTTGTCGTCAGGCTTGTGCAGTAACACGTCACTAGTGATCCTGCTGAGCTAGAATCAGCATCATCCCAAAACCACTTGGATTTAAAAGTCAGAAACAGCAGAAATGTCAAAGCTTGGGGGATTTAGACAGTAGCTTACAGGATTACATCCAACAAACATGGACTTTTTTCCTTTAATCATCCAGAGGGAGGTGTAAGCTCTCCCCAGAACCTGATCTCTCACAAGTTACTGCCCCATTTATTTACGAGTTTAAAAAAAAGACCCTAAAGCCTGCTAATTCAATCTTTTCCTCCGCTCTGGTGCCTCGGTTACTCACTGGAGACATGATCTCCTTGTTTAGGGTGAAGGTGATGTTGGCGCAGCTGTTGTCCTGGTAAGAGGAGCTGGGATGGCATTTGATGGGAGGCTGGGGAGGGTTGGAGCGCCAGCACTCCCCCAGCTCCACGCACGGCTTCACAAAGCAGTGGCCCTCCCTCAGAGGGCTGCAGCTCTGGCCCGGCGGGCACCCGCCTCGGCCTTTGGCGCCAAGTTTACACGACCGGGGTCCACACCACACCTGAAGGGGACAAAAGCCAGTAGTTCATGCATATTGTTCATAACCTCAAAGCTAATTAAAGTTTCTCTATAAACATGTTAAAACAATATTTTTGCTGTCCAATAAAGTGGAAAAAGTGAGTTTAAAAAAAAAATAAAAAAAGTAACACATGCACCTGTGAGAGGGAAAAGTACACGGACCAGGTGGTAAAAAATGGAGCCTGGAGTACACTGAATGGCTCCAGATCATTTTCACCTCCTAAGCCGTATCAGTGAGGCTCTATTGTGCGAGCGGTGGTGAGACGAGCACGATAACATCACCTGAAGCAACTCCGATAAATCACACATCTTCAGTTGACCCGGTTCGACGGTGGGAGTTTCCGGGTTTGGCTCCAGACACAGATTTATAATGCTGCCATTGTGTTGTGTTCCAAAGCCAACCGTGTCATCCCTACACAGAACCCGACACTCCCAGAGCAGCTCCACCCTGCAACACGGTGTTGTTGTGGCCCAGCGCGGCCCTCCCAGCCCACGACTGGAGAAACGAGTCACACCCGCCAGCTCACTTCGAGTCACAAACAACACTCGGCGGGAGATTCTGCACGCATGTTCTCCCATCGGTAAACGAGGCATCGCAGCTGAGCGGCGCGTTTAGTGCTGCTGCATACCTTTGTGCACACGACTTTCCCATTGGAGCAGTTACAAGTGTTGCAGTCCTCCTCCCAGGTGGCGCCATCGAGGGCCGCGAGTCCGTTAAAGGAGCAATGTTTCCTCGTCTCTGCGATGGAAAACGCCCAATTAAATACGCACAAACTCCTGAAAATGAGTCTTAAAAGGCCTTTTCCGGGAGACTGACCTTCTTGGCAGCGGGATCCCATCCGGTCTGGTGGACACAGGCAGCGGTATCCGTCGATCTCGTCCACGCAGGTGGAGCCGGACGCGCACGGAGATGACTGACACTCGTTGATGTCTGTTACAGGAAGGAGAGGAAAAAATAATCATGTTTGCTTATGAAATAAAGAGCACAGCCAGACACCATTCAAATATCGGGATAAGTAAATCAGCACACAAATCTAATTCTGCAGCTTCATTTGTGAAAACAAGCAAAGACGCTTTTAAATGTTTGTCCTGGACGTCATTAGCAGGTACGCGGGAGCTAGAGGAGCAGACTTAGCAGAACAAAGGGTTTGCAGTGGGAACGAGCGTGGCCATCTGAAAGCCTTCGAGAGGGAAAACTATCTGTAATCAGTGTCAGGGAGCGGGGCCGAGTAGCTGCTGGCTCGCCACGCTGGTTCACCCCAGGGACACCAGCGTGGCTCTGCCTGGCCCCAAGCCCAACCCAGGCCCGGTTCTAACTGACGGGCCCAAACTGGGCAAGGAGGGAGGGACACTCACTGATCCGACAGTCTGGACCGGCGAATCCTGGGGCGCACTCGCAGCGGTACCAGTTGTCCCCGTCGACGCAGGTCCCACTGTTGTAGCTGTAAGAAAATAAACAAACGATGATAAAAACCTGGATGTTCTGTTTTCAGTGGAAGGATTTCAGCCGTTTTCAGAGTTTAGGGGGTGCTCTGGGCGTGTGAAGCAGGAAACAGCCGACTGCACCCCCAGGAATGAAGGGGAGGGCAGGGCGTTTGCTCGGATCGCAGAGAGGAGGCATGCAGGTGAGGAGGTGCAGCTCGTTTACGTCTACAGGAAATGTTTGGCTTCCACTTACCAAGGGTGGGGACTGCAGTCGTTGGTATCTGAACAAGGAAGACAGAAAGAAAAAGGGAGTGAGAAACAGAAGAGTTCCCCTCCTCCCTCATGGGGGAGTGTTCGGAGCACGAGAGAGCACGCCTGAGCCTGCGTGTGCAAGGCCCGGACTCTGCACCGTCTAATTACCAGTAGAGTCAAGTCTCACCCTTAAGGGTGAGTCCACCCCTCCCAACGCCACCATATACCCCCCACCCCCCACATGAAGTTAGCAGCGGGAGGAATTTGTGTTTTGGAGAGCATGCTTTCAGGGCACGGAGCCCAGGAAAGTCGGGGAAATAGTGGAGGGCTGCAGAACGAGCAGACATGTCACCGTTTGGACAGGAATGTTACGACAGGGGGGGGGGGGGGGGACATCTGTCTCCACTTTCCTCAGCCCTCTCCTCTCTCCTCCTTCGCTTTCTCCTCATGGCTGACAGTGAGACAATAGAGCTGCGCTGATGACCACACATTTAATAATAATCTCATCTGGATGACTTACTCTGAGTGCACGTGGGACCCTCCCAGCCTTCCTTGCAGACGCAGGTGAAGGAGTCTCCCTTCACCACGCAGGTGCCACCGTTCTCACACGGGTTGGGGAGACAACTCGAGTTTTTGGCTGCAAAAGTTAAAAATAAAATAAAAAGTGAGAATCCGACGCTCGAGGTGAGCACGGCCTCCTTTTTGTTCAGCCTTTCCTATTTCGATGTTGCTGTAATGGGATTTTAAGCGTGTATCTGTCAGACATCTGCAGATGCAGAAACACAAGCAGGCAGCAGGTAACGAGGGCGCCAGCATGAAAAAAATAAATGATTTTGTGGATCCTGCAGATCTGACAGATACCAGCTTTGGTCGTGTGAGTAAGCAGAAAAACCCGAACCATCGGGACTCACCTATGTTGCACGTCGTCCCCTCCCACCCCGGGGAGCACTTGCACTGGAAGGTGTCGCCCTCGTCGTGGCAGGTGCCTCCATTGTTGCACGTGGCTTCATCGCATTGACTCTCACCTGGAGGGGAGCGTTGACAAATTGCAGGATTTTAAAGGTGATGGATAATTAAATGCAGCCATGAGCGCATACCATGAGCCTGTATGGACAGACTACGTGGGTGTGGAGGAAAAAATAGCTTCTAAAAGAAGGCGGCGGCGGCTCTTACGTGAGTGGCAGGTTTTCCCCTTCCAGCCGTTTTTGCACTCGCAGAAGAAATCAGACACCAGGTCTCGACACGTCCCTCCGTTGTGACAGGGGTTGGTGCTGCAGTCGTCGATGTCTGCAAACAGACCGGAGCGGAGGATCAGACGCGTGATCAGACTGAGGGATGCCTGGCTGCGTTTTGGGGAGAAGAGGGAGGCAGCGCTACTCACTGATCTCGCAGTTGTCGCCTTCCCAGCCGTCGCTGCAGATGCACTGGTACACGCTGACTTTATCGATGCAGGTGCCCCCGTTGCGGCACGGGTTGCTCTCGCAATCGTTGATGTCTGAAATGTTATCAAGAGGTCACAGATGAAGGAACCGCCGTTGCGGGGTCGGACGGACACGCGGCAGGCCAGCTTCTTACTCTCGTGGCAGTAGGTTCCTCTGAAGCCCTCCTTGCACTCGCAGCTGAACTGGCCCCCGGCCTGGCTCCGACAGTGCCCGTGAGGTCCGCACACACTTGACGAAATGTAGCGCTCTCCTCCCGGGGTGCTGTTGGACGCCACGGCGACCGTGCAGCTGTCAATCACTGCAGGATGAGGAGAAACGGTTATTAAACTCTGATTTATTCAACACCATTAGTCTCAGTGAGGAAGAGGCGAGAGAGCAGCCTTTTCCAGACATAAACTCTCAGTGGGGGGTGGCTGCTACGGAGATGAGCTGTTGTGCTTTCATAAGCAATTCCCAGTGATCTGTTTCAGAATGTGCTGAAATCCCCTCCTTCCCCCCCGTCTGATCGAGTTAGGCAAACCCGGTGAATTTGCTTCCCTGGAACCGCTTGTTCTTGCCAAGAGCCGAGGCAATCTCGCTGTCTGCTATCTGGCTCCGCGGTTGGTCCGCTCACTCAATTAACCGACGCACAGACGGAGCAGGAGGCAGCCCACCGAGCCGCTACCCAGAACGCCCACCGAGCCGCTACCCAGAACACACACGGCGCCGCTGAGCGTCCGCCAGGTTTCTAAAAGGAAAAGCTCTGTGCTTAGGGGATCTGGGAGTGGGGGGGGGGTCATCAAACCTGCTCACCTTGGCCAAGAAACTTCATCACATGAAACTAAAGTGTTACCCTCATGGGAGAACGCGCTGTTCGGCGGCGCTAAGCTACCGGCTTTCAGGCGTCTTCCGTGGGAGAGGTTTACCTTTACAGGTGGTGGTGCGACAGTGGTCCTTCAGGTGGGAGCAGTTCTTGCCTTCGTAGTCCTCGGTACACACGCAGTAGTAGTCTGTGGCCAGATTGAAGCAGGGTGCACCATTATGACACGGGTCGGGTGAGCAGTAGTCGATATCCAGCTGGGGGAGGAAAGGAGATAGGTGACGGTGACACCACAGTGTCCTCCACACAGGCCCAGCGATGGGGACAAGGCAGAGACATAGGACATGTCCTCTGAGTCAGGGCTGCAGCAGCTAGCTCCAGCTACCAGGCGTAGGAGTCTCACCTGACACAGATTTCCTGAGAAGCCAGTGAGACACAGACACTGGAAGCCGTTCACTTCGTCCTGACACCGGCCGCCGTTTAGGCACGGCGAGCTCGCACACTCATCCATGTCCCGCTCGCAGTGCTCGCCGGTGAACCCCGGGGGGCACGAGCACCGGTAACCGTCTACCAAGTCCTGAGAGAGAGAGAGAGAGAGAGAGACTGGGATTAGCGGCTTTAAATGGGTGGAGTTAGCAAAATAACTGTCAAACAAGTAAACGGACGACAAAACTTCACTTAGGTCGGATTCAACCTGTTACGGCAGCGGTTTATCTAAACCACCGTAAACGTCTCCAGCTCCGACAAACACACAAAGCAGCCATGCCCGATAGGGCCGGACGACCCGTCGTACCTTACAAGTCCCTCCGTTCTGGCACTGGTCCTTGCAGTCGTTGATATCTGCACGGGAAAAGCAAATCAGCGGGGTTAAAACCGAAGGGCTCGACTAAAGAGCTCGTGTTTGAAAACAAGTCTGCGCTCTAAGCGGCCCGTGCTCGGGGCCTTTAAAAACAAAGTGGGGAGCAGGAGAGTGCAGCGCGAGAGCTGGATGACACGGCTGCAGAACAGAGCGTTGAGCAATCCGGTCGACTGCCAAGTGAAACTAGAGGCAGGATTGTTTTGAGCCACCCCTAATCACCACAGCTTTACACGCACGCACGCACACGCACGCACACACGCACGCACACACACGCGTGTTTTTATGGGTTTGTGTGGACTACGTTTTCTGAGTTGTTTGTATGGACCCTGACTTCCACTATAGCCAGAATGGTGCAAAAATTATGTTTAACTCTAGGTGGGACAAAGGAAGCTTCCTCTAGGATTTTGGTTGTGTGGACCGGGTAAATGTCCACACAATGTTGGTCTCCTGTCAGGGGTTGGTCCACACAAACCCATAAAGACAAGTGCACGCGCACACACACACACACACACACACACACACACACACACACACACACACACACACACACGCACACACACACACGCACACACGCACACACACACACACACAGGTCTTATAATCATGCAGCAGATGAATTTGCGCTCCAGGAAAAGGCTGCACCGGCAGACGTGGTTTGCAGCGTCACGCCTCGGCGTTGCAGCTGTAATCCAGCAGGGACTGACTGAATGGAACGAGCGTTGGACATGTGTCCTGCTCCACAGCTGCAGCTTTCAACTCACTGATCTCACAGTTCTGCCCCTTCCAACCAGGGAGGCACTCGCAAAAGTATCCACCAATCAGGTTTCGGCATGAGTTGGCGTTGACGCAAGGCTTGCTGTCGCATTCGTTGGCATCTAGAAGAAAGACAGAAGGGGTTAGTGATGTCCACACAGGCAGCTGACAGTCGTGAAGCTGTGGGACGAGACTCGGTACCTATTAGACACGTCTTCCCCATCCACTGAGGAGGACAGTGACACTTGTAGCCATTGACCAAGTCCTGGCAGGTGCCGCCGTGATTGCAGGGGTTCGGAGAGCAGTCGTCTACATCTGAGCAACAATGATGTCAGAAAGGGTTCACGCTTTCGTTTAAATGTCAGACTGTGTTTGACTCTTACTGATGGTGCAGGAGGGGCCACTCCAGCCGGGCGCACACCGACACTCGTAGCCCTGGCTGGTTTCTGAGCAGCTCCCTCCGTTAGAGCACGGGCTGGACAGACACGCGTGCTCGGCTGAAAAAGAAAGACGGATGTTTCAACATTTCTTTTCCAATTCGTTACCATCAAGAGTTTGACTCCTGTCCTCACACCCCACCCCCACTATCTCCCTCTCTCATTACCCGCCTCAACAGAGCACGCCACCAGGAAATCATCTTTCATGCTACGCTGACCTGTGTAACGCACCGTGACTTCCCTCCGAGAGGCGGCACATGATGAGCGAGCGGCGGGACGGGAGTTTTGTGGACGAGCGCGTCCCAAATGGATCAGAAGTGAATGATTCACTCAAAGCATAATCAGGTGGTTAGGGTGATCTGTGGACAGTTGTGGTATGCCGGTGGGGGTGGGGGCTGGACTGCACCTTGAGGCCCCCCAGACGTCTCCTCTGGTGGACAGACTTTCTGCTACAAAAGGGGCACGGTCTTCTGACATCCCTGCAGTTAAGCTGTCAGCGCCTCTCGGGGCTCGGATTTAATGAGGAGGAAACCCATCATCTCCGTGGTAAGTGTTCACAGCAGCTGAACGCTACCCGTCTGAGAGGACGAGCCGCCTCTGGAGATCAAACCGCTGGATTACCTGTGAGGGGGGGCCCACTTACCCCGAAGTGGAAACAGATTATTGCGAGTTACCACCTCCTCCGATTACAAACTGGAGGCACCTCTGACCTCTGTCTGTGAGCTCGGTGAGCCCAGAAGCTTCCTGCTAATTGTAGCGGCGCACAGGAGGCCAAGCCTCATCTGGAGAGTCGGAGTTTTGTCTTCAACTAGAAAACGTCGAGACGAGAAAACTTTAGCTCGTATGAAAACGACTGGAACTGTAGAGGTGGCTCCGGGGGGCACGCGGGGATGCAAGCTGAAAGCGCCACAGAGAACCTGCTGCAGGGACCGCGTGAGAAAGGACGACACTATCGGAGCTCTGGCGCATCATTCGTAAAGTAAAACAAGAAAACCAGAAACTCAAACAGTGAAACTATGATTCTATAAAACACGATAAAAACCTATCAGAACGTGGCACCAACTGATGACCGCTCTACGCTGTGTAAGCTTTTTACGTCTGGGCAGTATGATGTCACGTCCAAACAGCACAACGTTCTCTTCCGTTCAGTTTCTACAGAGAGTATAAAAGGGAGCGCCCCTAAAGGCCACGGCAGGCGTGTCCTCGCCGTGGTGGACGCACCTGAATGTTAGAGTTGGACAGATTGTGCTGAGTCAGCGTAGGTGTTTCTATTAGGGATGGGTGGAGACAGATACCGATGTTGTCAGGCCGTCTGTGGGCAGCCCTGAACAACATTAGCTTCATAAATGCTCCAAAATATGATTTAAGTTTCTTGATTCTTTAAAAATGAACTTTGGTTACTTTTTTATTTTAAAGCGGAGTTAGCAGATCTGCAAAACAAGCTAGCTCATCCCTCCCAAAACCTGCATCGGCAGAGGAATCGAGAGCGCGCTCAACACCAGTTTTCTAGGTCCAATAGCCTTCCGTTGTCCGTGACCTCAAATGGTGCTTTTCTTTTTGGGACTCTGGTAGTTTTCCCTAAAGCTGAAGTGGTAGCAGCCGGCCGTTTCTCCTCTGATATTACCGAGAGGTGAATCTTTCACACCAGAGGTTTTCTGTTGCTTGATGCAAAAGCGCGTAACGAATGAACCCAGGGAAGTGCCGCGGTTCAGTGAGACCGGCAACCGTCGGTGAGTTGGAGCCGTTTAGACGAACGCCAGAGAACCACTTTATTCCTCCTTTGTTTTGTTTTAAATCTCCATTAAGTATTTATATGTGTACTACCTTAAAACATTGTTAAGAGGCATGAAAAACGTTATTGTATCCTTAATACTGTGTAAAGTTGTACACTTAAACAGGCAAATAAGGCAGAAAACGTCAAAGTATCGGCCAAAATAATCAAATCAATCAATCGGCAGCACATATCCTCCATCGGCTGACCTCTACGGTATTGACAGACAAACCCACACGGGTCCAGCTCTAGTTTGTGCTGCTGCCGGCCGTCACGCTCACCTCTCTCACAGGTGGCTCCTGAATAACCCTCAGCACAGGTACACTGATACTTGTCAGGCCCTGTGTTGATGCACGTCCCTCCATTCAAGCATGGCTGGTGAGTGCCACAGTAGTTCAGATCTATGGGGGATAAAACAAAACAAAAGCACATAAGTATGGGAAACTCTGCGTGAGAAAAGATGAAACGGAAGAAGAAAAATGAACCTTTATCACAAAGATGGCCGCCCCAGTTGGTTTCACACAGGCACTGCCACGGCTCAACGCAGGTGCCGTGGACGCAGCCGGGGTGAGGGATGCACTTGTCGCAGTACTGACCCTGCCAGCCGTATAGACAGCTGTCACACAGAAAGTCCACTGTTAAACGGCAAAGCCCAAACATTCACATGAAATCCACAATCGCACAAAAGCCTGATTAATCCCCGCGGAGTCTCAACATCTTAATATCTTAATCTCAGTTCAGATTCCTTCTTAAGAAATAATCTGGGAATAATAAAGCAAACAAGCGCCGCCCTGAGCTGCGGAACAAAAAAACAAAACAAAAGAGGCTGTGTTCTCGCTAACGCACGACTAGACTGAAACTTTAAAGACCACAAATGAGTTTTAAGCAGCAGCTTGTTTAATAACGCTCCAACCCAAGGAAACGGGAGAATCCAGCTTTTCACCAAACAGAAACCAGGAAAAACCAGTGAATTACAGTTCCAGTGGGACCTTCAGTGTGGCTAACGGTTAGCATGCGACCAGACGTTCCCTTTAACAACGCTATGCCTGCGGCTTGGCAGTGAGGACTGCTCAGCCCTCCTCTCAGCTGTTTCCCTGCTGCTCGTCCTGGTTCCCATGACTCAGTAGTCAGGCTCGTACAGCAGAGGAGGAGAAAACACAGCTCGCTGACCCCTCAGAGGTCCAGAATCACACTGATAATTCTGCTCAACAACAACAACAACCCAGCTCGGCTGAGTCGAGGTGGCGAAGTGGCGTTGCAGCTGAGCGACAGGAAACGGCGTGTCCCTCTAGAGAGCTCCGCTTAGCCTTGAGGAACAAGCAGACAGTAAAAATAAACACGCTTTGACGAAAGAAGAGGGAGGTTATTTCACTGACAAATCACAGATATTAATTCTTGTCATAATAAAGACGAGATGGGAAAACACACTGAAGCAGCAGCATCAAAGACGACGGCGGCTGCCCTTGCCTGGAGCCAGAGGCTGCTTTGCACTGCTGCGGTGGGAAACGGCTCACCGACTACAATAGCAGACTCAGGGCTTTAAATATAGCCACACCTGTCAGGAGACTACAGCGATTCACCCTCCTCTTCTGCCAGTGGCCACACAAGCTCTTACAAGAAATGTGATTAAGTCAAAAGCTTGGGGAAAAACAACAAAGCTGCTGTTCAAAACAGAACAAACACGATCATCCCTGCACTTGATTTACGGCCAAATCAGACAACTAAGAAAGCAACCAAAGCCCAGGACTGTGGGAAGAGTTGGACCGAGCAGCGGTTTCCCTCCTCCTCCAGGAGGAGACACAAGTGTTACTGCCCAAACGCAGATATCCATCTGCGCCTGGCCGTTTCCTCTGGCCGAGTGCATAAACAGCATTAGGAAGCCATTAGCAACACAAACGACACACTTTAAAGGCTCATCCCAATGTTACATGCCGTTCTACTGAAAGGGCTGGCTCCATTTTAGGGCATCGGATCGCAGCGGTGGAGTTGCGTCTTTTCCTTTTTTATTTATTTTTTTTACCGTGTCCTGTCTGGCTGTGAAGCAAGCAGAACTGATGTCTGAATGCTGGTGACAAGCCTTACAGATTTACTCTCAGGTGGAGCATCAAAGCGTCTGCTTTTAATGTCACGCCTGATATTTAAAACTTTATTGTTATTGTTGTTGAATGCTTGTAATTCCGACCAGACACGGAGTCAGAGGTGAAAGAGAAAGGAAAAGACAAAAGATGGGGGGGGGGGGGTCCACAAAAATAAACAATAATGAACAAGAATCTGCTTCTAGACCTGCAGAAAGACGAAAAAACAACAAAAACAATGGGACACAACAACAATACAACAGGAGCAAGCTATCACTGCGTCAACTTGATGGAGGAATATATAATCAACATTGTTTAACTGAACAATCACACGATAATAAATCACAGTGCATTAAGTGCCAACCACAGCCTTGAGACATGTGTTGAAAATGCCCAAGTCCATACATATGAGAGCACCATGTGAGCACCTGTGTGTGTACACGCGCTTGCTTATGTAAGGTTTCTCTATAGGAGCGTCCAATAGAGAGTGTGAGGGACCACAGATCCGCCCCCCAAAGATGTGTAGGAGACGGGGGGAGCTCCAAGTCCCAGAGATCCAGGCGCTGCCCCAGAGCACAGGAACCCCAAGGAGACTGCAACCAGAAAAGCCCCCGCCCCCCTCGAGAGGCACAGAGGGTCGCCCCGGTAGGCCACAACCAGCAGCCGGCAGAGTCCCGGGAGATATCAGTGGCAAGCCCACAGGCCCGCCCGCCGCCTCCCACCCCCTAGCCGGCCGAGCCCGGGACCCAGAGGCGACCATCCCTGCTGGGGACCCAGCAGAGCCCAGGGACCCAGACCCCACCAGGCAGCCACCGGGATTGGTCAGCCAGATGCCAAAATTTTAAACCCCCTGACCCGGGAGCCATGACCCAGGCAGACCAAGGCACAACCCCTCACACCAGGTGTGGCAGGGAGAGGGGAGACGAAGATCTATATCATCAATAGAAGTCCCAGGAGAGGGGAGGAGTCAAAGGCCCCACCTGACATATACAGTCATACACAAACACAGTCACACACTCCCTCCCTCATGCTCACACATGCACATACAACCCAAGACTTACAAAAATGCACGCCGGACACCCACTCATGTTCCCCATACACACCCTATTCACTCTGGTCCCGGTACTGCTGCACATGGGGTACAACCATCACCGGTTACCAGAGTTTGACCCTTTCTGCTGGGGTGCTGATGAGCAGGCTCCCCCGCCCAACGCTGAGCACAGCAACCCACCACCCCAGACCCCAACCAGACGGCCAGATCTCCCTCCTAGCCTCCAGCCCCAGGAAGCCAAGCAACAACAGAGGTGGCTAAGACCCCTAGTCTCCCTCCGCCTGCTCCAATATGGTGTTAGTGTGGTGATGAGGTGTATTCCATGGCTGTGGTGAGCGGGCAGTGCGGGCATTGTCTGGCCTATGCCAGCTGACGCCACCACACCACCCCACTTGCACCCACAGCCCTCGGTGTCTAAGTGCGGTTTAAAATTGGAAGTGGGCACCGGCACCCGGGAGGAGGCTGAGATATCCCCCTGCCAAATGCCGTTGAATGTGCTCACTCCCAAGGCCCTAAGTGTGTGTTTGTGTGGAATGTCGTTGGTGGAAGTGTTTAAGGTGCAAATAAAATTGGGGGGCAGGTTGCCACAAGAATGCGGAAATGGGGTCCATACCCGCACCCCCTGACTTGTCCACCCTCCAAGGTCCTATGTGTATGTTTGTGTGATGATGTGAGGGAGCAGGAGGAGAGAAATGTGTGGGGATGGGGAGGAATGGCTGGTTGGGCTTAACCCTCCAGGGAGCCAGCTCCCCCACTGGCCCCAATAGGCACCTCTGTTGTCAAACTGCCACCCAGGGCATGGAGACCCCAGCCCATCCTGCCAGGGCCCAAAGCAGCAGCATCACAGAGCCTCACGGAGCCCGAGGGCACCAACCCAGCCCCACCCCAGCAGAATATCTATGCCCATCCCTGCATTTGCACAACTTCCAGAATATATAAGACATAGGACATCCAGGTAAGGTTGGGTCCTCCCCCTCCCCTGTGATGGGACAGCAGAGGAGCCAAGGTCTACCCGAGGCCCCCGAACCCGGGCCAGGCACTGCTGCCTGTGCCTGCCTTCTCCCCGGCAGCATACGTCAGGACCCGACCCCCAAGGCCCCGCCCAGATCCCCCCACGGGGCCGGCCACCCGAGCCCCCAGGCCCCCACCCAGACCCGCCCAGGGGCAATGCAGCTGCCGCGCAGTGACCCATGGCCACTGCCAAGACCTTCAAGGGGCCCCACTCACAACCGCCAGTAGTCCACCCCCTGAGGCAACCCAAGCACCTCCAGAGGGGGGCAACAGCCCCCCAGTCCCAGAGTCGCGTCTTTTCCAGCTGTGACTGAAAACCCACTGCGAGGAGAGATGGAGCTTTTACAGATCTCAGCATCACACGGAGCTACAGACACTTACTTGCATCCACCCGGTTCCTTGCACGACCCGTGTTCTGCGCTGCAGCCTTGTCGACAAATCGCTAGAAGAAGAAGAGCAATTTTACTATGACAGGATTTCATTTGCATATGGTAAATTATATTATATAATTGATCCATGTCTGTATGAATAAGCACAGCTGCTGAGAAGAATCCAAAAATAAAGCAATTTTAATCAAAAGCTACCATCTACAAAAGTCTATCGGGTTTAAAACATCTTTCCTTTTCCTAAAAGGTTAGGAGAAAACTAAAAAGTGAGAGAAGTTACGGCGAAAGCCCAGAAACATCCCACAGACGGTGCATCAGCATGACTCACAGATTACAGTCTGGCTGGCAGACTTGCTCCAGCTGCGTCAGCGCAACTCACCTGTGTTGCAGTCGGACCCAGACCAGCCTTCCAGGCAGGTTTTGTTTCCGTTGTAGTCGCACGTGTAATGCCCAAAGAACTCATCCCGGGGTCGGCAGAACTTGTTGCAACCAAAGCCGTAGTAGTGCTCGTCGCAGCTGACCCGGATCTGGTACTCGAACTGGGCGACCGGGCCGTTGTGAGTCAGCTTCTGCCAGTGCGGGCTTGGGTTGATCATGCCAGAATGAGAGGCTTTCTCTATCAACCTCCCATCTGCACCTGAAACCGGACACAAAAGCGTTAAATTGTTTGTTTTTTCCCCAACCCCTCTGATAACACAAGTCTTCTAAGGTTTGGGTGAACAGCGGCGTGCAGCGTCATGGGTGTTGCAGTGCTTTCCACCATAAATTGGAAACCTCAGAATGAAAATAATCCAACACAAATTGCAGAAGATCTCTGAGATAGCAGATTATATGTAATTAAATCAAGTATGTGAGCTCGAACGGGTAAGAAGTAGAAGGTGGAAATGCAGAAAAGGGAAAAGGATGCCTTTAATGAGCACTTTAACTGCTTTTTTTCTCACGCTCCCCGTCCAGCTCTGCCTGCTTGGTTTCTGAGCCTTCGCTTTACAGCCTGAGGATAATGCCGGTCTGTGATGCTGCTCGCTGCATCTGCTCAGGCGAGGACAGAACCGCAGCCACCATTAATTACAGTGTGAGGACACTGATGCCTCAGTCGCTGCCGGGAGGCCTGCCAGGGAGCCACTGGGACTTCTTTCGGCCTTCTTTGTATGCAAGTTTGTAGCTGGCAGCAGCAAAGAAAGCATTTACACGCCTCAGGTGCGTCTCTCTGCAGGTCTGAGAGGTTACAGCTCAAAGTGGCTAAAGTCTGCAGCCAAGAGTAAACACTCCAACTGAGCAAACATGCTCGGGCCCCATCTCCCAACACGAAGCCGTCAACTTACAAGCGCGGCACTTTAGCACCGCTCGTTCACCCCCACATGCAGCACTCGCTACCTGACGTCTAAATCTCTCACCTGGGAGAGAATGAAAAATATGCCAGTCATTATTCCCTGCCACTCGCACGGGCAGGGGTCGCTGACCGCGTGGCGAGTCGCTCTGCTTGTTTGATGTGACGCAACGCAGAGAGCGGTGTGTGTGTGTGTGTGTAGGGGGGCCTGTTATTTATTTACTGGTGTGTGTGAGGATGGCGGTGGGGAGCGGGCTGTGGCGGAGCTCTGAAATCGCAGTGCCCGGTAACATTTCGCAGCACTCTGGAATCCAGAGCCGGGCCGTGTGGCATTTCTCTACCGACTGCTGGCCTGCGGTGCGAGGAGTAGCAGAGCCCTGCGACCTGCTGCCTGACCTGGAGCTAAACGGACGTCAGACACGCCAGAAACCCAGCTCCACTCTCAAACAGAAACTCTTACATGACACATCTTAGCTAAAACTCGTAGATGAGAGGGAAGGTGCTTATTTTAGCAAATGCACTTTGATTTGTTTGGTTTAGAAATCTGTTGAATGCTCAAGTAGCTTCTGTAAAAGCTGCGAAGCCTTTTTAAAACACTTAATGAGATGGTATTAAAATATAACGTTAACAAAATACTATTGTGTTATAGAACCAGTTGAAGCTAAATGTTGTATAATGTCCCCGTGTTTTGTTTAAAGGTCTCGTTCCCTGAGAAACCGAGTCTACTTGTTCCTGTTTTAAACCAGCTCGGCCGCTCTTAGCTGCACGAGCACGCTGAACATGAAAATGTTCTTCCTGCATCAGCCGCGGAAAGGAAAAAGACGGGAAAACAAACAGCCCAGGAAATGCCCGCTTCTTCTACGTCACAGGAGGAATTAGCATTCAAGGCTCCGCCCACTTTGGCTTGTGTTTGCCATTTTTGTTTAGCGGCCAGGAGAGCAGAGTGCAACTTGGCTCGTAGAAGCTAACCATTAGCATTAGCAACTCCACAATATGGCAACGTGTTCGAGGTTGTGTTGCATTTTCACCCAAGAAACAAACGAACCGAGGCAGCGGAAGAGTCGCGTTGCTGTTAGCCAATCAGCGGAGAGATGTCCAAATATCATGAATATTAATGAGTAAAACTTATAATCCTGAAATGCCCCCCCCCCCCCCCCCCCCCCACACACACACACACACACTCACGCCTGAACAAACTACCACCTTAAATAAGAGCACCAGGAGCAGACTAGAGACCTTTAACTTCCTCCACCTTAATCGTATTTGTTTAGTTTAATAATCGCGTTAGCTGCAAAAGCCATTATCTACTAGAGTAAAGAGGAATAGACTCAGTATAAATACGCGCTTTATTAGGGGTCAGTTTAAAGTCCTTTTATTTACTGCTCAACTTATTTAGTAAAACTCAGTAAAGAGAGAATTTATTAATGACTAAAGTTTAGATTTTGTTCAGAGCTCACTTAGCTGAAGGCTACCAGCGCCGTGAGCTAACCCGATGGGGCACTCAGAGGTTTAAGCAACACAGAACGTACATTCAGGAGGCTTTTCACACCCGTGCCTTAATCGTTCTCTGAGGAGCGGCAAATATATCAGAAAAGACCGAAACCTCGTAGGGCTCGAGCCAGCGTTGGACGAGGCCCTGCCCTCATCTGGGATCACCACACTGTCTCCAGCCTGACCACCAACCAGCAGAAATCCCAGCAGCGGCCAGATCTCAGATTCAGCATCGCGTTACCGCAGAGTTCTTCCCACATTTGTGAGAAAGAGACAAAAAAACCTACTGCGTCTTTCAGTAGTCGGCCGCGTTCTCCAAATTCACCTGAGCCAGGAGGAACTTTCATCTACAAGAACAGGTCAGAAGGCCTCCACCCCCTGCCAGGAGACCGCAGGCTGGCACCAGGGTGGATTCTAGGTTGCACGCCCCAGAGGCAGTGAGGCGGTGTGACCCCTGACCCCCACCTGCCATCAGTCATCCACTAAATAAAAACATTTTTTTAAAGGCTGGTGCAGGCAGTAACTCTTCACAGCATTCCATGGCTTCCAAAAAAAAGAGCTCTGCACTTTGACAGCAGCTTGTCAGCAAGCTTTAAATAGCAACACACACACACACACACACACACACACACACACACACACACACACACACACACACACACACACAAAATGGACCTCAAAGGCGGAAGACAGGGGTTCAGGAAGAATAAACTTCCCTTCCTGACCTTCAGCGTAACGTCTCCCTGGCGCTGCTTGGAGGAAACACCAGAGACAGTAAAAAGAGGACGACCGGACACAAATACTCACCACTCGTTTCATTGTTGAAGTCCCAGGCCTCCACTATCAAAGTGTAGGACCTCTGAGGAGGAAGAGAGACACACAAGCAGCGTTAGTCTGTCATGTCTGCGTCGGTGCGTTGAGAGAAAACACATCAGAGATGAACAGAAATACCGTTTTTACCGCTTTCACACGAATCACCAACAGATTTGAAATGAATACGCAGGAACGTTTCCTTGTGAGAGGTTCGCACGCTTCAAATCACAAAGTATAGAAGACTGGATAATTATCATCAGTCATAAGTCAGCCAGGTATTAAGTTACAGGAACCAACTTATTCTCTTCAAGTCTCCAAAGGTACAACGACCCGTTTTCCACCAGATTACCCGTCTCCTCGCTGACATTTTACAACAGTTCTGAGAACTACTGAGAGTTCAGTTGATCTGATTAACTAAAGGTTAAACTTGAGGTTTCTGCAGAGCAGCGCTCCAGCTGGATTTCACTCAAAAGACTAAAAACCGTCTGAAGGAAACCCTGCAGAGCCAAAGGAACAGAGTTTTACAACATTTTAATTTTATGCTGATTTCAAAGCGTCTGGCAGAGTGCTACAAATCCTAAAGGAAGTCTAGGAGGAAGTGCTCGAGGCGCGACAAAAAGACTAAAAAGAGCATGTGATGGACTGAGTGCTGCACCGCGACTGGCTCGTCTAGAGTTCAGCGCTCCCAAAAACGCTTCGTCTCGTTCAGGGTCGGCGGTGATCACACCGGTATCCACTTACACGCTCGGCCCTACCGGCAAAGCGCGGAGCACGGGCGACGTGAGTGCAACTGCAAGTCCACAAAGAGTTTTTCTAGAAAACAAAACGAGGTCTCAGTAATTTCAGCTTGTAGCCGTGCTGCTCGGAGACATTTCAGAAACTCTGCAGGGCCACTTTGCTGTGATGACTTCATGGTAAACAAACCTGCTGGAAGGAAAACCCCTGCTCTCACTCCAAGCAAAAGCAATTACGGGGGTATGACTCACTCCCGAAACTTTTTATTTTGGGTTTCTTTACAGCTTCACCTTGTTTTCTCAGGCATTCAACTTTCCATTATACCAGAAGACATTTGTCTGATCCCCTGCCAGTCAGGTCCCAGCAATCAAGCCATCAATTACCTAAAAATGCAGCTTCCACTCGCAGACGCTGCACTTTTATCCACGATTCATCACCGGCTGCAACACTGACTTCAAATTAAGTCATCGGTAATGAGATACCCAATCATCACCCCGATGCACTCTCTGGCTTCTCTTCAAGCGTCAAGTCCCATCAGGTCATTGCTTTGGTGTCCCAAAGCTTGCTTGATATTAGAGGTTTAAATTTCCAGCCTAAAGAGCAGCACTCGAATGCATCGTCACAGCTGATTTCACTGCGTGATTTCAGGAACCTCCAAGCTAAAGACCAACAAAACAACTCATGCGTGTGACAACCGTGCAGAGGGACGTGACCTCATCCTGAGAAGAGGAACTCAAAAGCAACACGAGGCCTTTCATCTGTAAATCTGCTCATCTCTGTGACGGTAAACAAGCACACCAAGTGGAGAAATGCGTTTCCCACCTTTCAGGTGGGTTTACTTCCAGAGATTGGAATGATCAGTACATTCAGTTTGTTCCTTTCTTTGCAGAAACGCTTAACTGTCAGTTACACTGTGAGCAGCCATGGATCCCTGCCAAGTGAAAGTATCAACAAACCTCGTTCACCTGCCACACACACACACACGCACACACACGCACGCACACACACGCACGCACACACACGCACACGCACACGCACGCACACACACGCACACACACACACACGCACGCACACACACACACACGCACACACACACACACGCACACACACGCGCACACACGCACACACGCACACGCACGCACACGCACACGCACGCACGCGCACGCACACACACGCACACACACACGCACACACACGCACACACACACACACACACACCATTAGTAGTGGAAGACGAAAAGCTTATTGACCCGATTAATTAATCCCGCAATTTGCAGGCGCCTTTGGTCTTAATGCCTCGGAGGCACATTGACAGAAACACACCCATGTCTTTTGCGTGACTTGGGCTTGCCTCGACATGGAGAGCTTTTGCAGCACAGCATGGCTCAGGCTCATAATTCCAGCTTCAGACGTGTATATTTTAAATTCTCAGAGGTCGCATCACCGATATTGGGATGTTCCATTTAAGACAGAACAGCCGCTTGGAGATGGCGAGAGTGAGCTATTACCCGTCCCTTCATTCACTAACACTCCATAACTCCTTGGCTCTTATCAGCTGGGGACCATCTTGCCACTGCCAGGTTCACTTTTCCCAGGCTCCCAGCTGACTCACCACTTCTCTTTGAACTTCTCTCTCTCTCTCAAACACACACACACACACACACACACGCGCACGCACGCACGCACGCACGCACACACACACACAACTAAACAAGACACTAAAACAAGACACACCGCAAACATGTTTCTCCCAAGGCAAAAGAGATAAAAACACGAGCAAGACAAGGGATGGAAGTTTGTGGAGTTTAGCCAAACAAGCGGTAAAGTTAGTCAGCAACAAAGTTATCCCAAACTACTGTACGCCATGCTTTAACGCAGCTCGAAAGCAAGCCCGACAGTCAGCGAAGCATCAGAAGCTATTACGCAGCATCGCACCAATTAAGCACTACAAGTACGTCATTAAAAAGAGAAACGACAGGGCGAGGTACAGAGAAAACACATTTCCTGTCCCTATTCCACTTGAGTAATCTGCATTTAACTGCCACATCAGAGCAGAGTACATAAAAAACATATCATTACTCCCACAGCAACCAGTAGCGATTATCCCCAAGGCTGAGCTGACTATTGTTTTTTTTGACACACCTGATTTGTGTTCTCAGACTGCTCTGACTTGTCAACAAAAACCAATCACGCGGTTATAAAACACGCCCAAAAGTCTGGGAGCTATGGCGTCATGTGTTCAAGGAAGGACTGCGTGATTTAATTGGATAAAGGAAAGACTGTGAGAAAGAAAAATGAAAGTCAGAGAGAGGAAATGATGAAGTGAAGCTGTTCGATCTTCATTTGGAGAGCAGAGAAGTTTTCTTTTACAGGTGGGAAAATTTGCTGAGGCGGTCAAAAAGGCAGGAGAACTTCCATCATTGCTGAGTCTACGACAACTGCTTCCTGTTGCTTGCCCTGCGTTGGCTTTACAGCTGCACCACCTCCATTATGCTCCATAATCCTCACTGTAGTCACCCAGGGCACACCATTGTCCCCAGTTGATACACCGCGAGGGCCACTGGGCCCTCACTCCTCTGTGGAATAAAAGCCCCCCAATGCAGACACTGTGAAACCATGCAAGTCTCTCAAAACCCTGGTTTGCTTGTGTTAAAGAGGTCCGGCCGACATCCAGTTCAGCTGGACACCTGGCTCCTGCCCTACCTGATCTAAAGGACATGTGTGCAGCCTCATTAAGTTCAGCAGTTAGTGGGTGGCAAGGTTAAAGCGATGAGATGCCTGGGGTCCAACCGAGCGTGACTTAAACAAAGCCCTCGGCCTGGATAGGAGGCCAACTTCATGCAGCTCACAAGAGAGAGGATGAAGGGAAGAGGAGGGATGGGGGGGGGGGGTCTTCGTGAACTCCTAGTACCCAACAACCCAACTGCACCACACTGCCATCTGTCCACAACAGCCAATCAACCGATGAAAAGGACAAAGAGTGATATCATACCAAACCTGACGATTGTTAATGTGCACTGAAGTAAAGCACGAGAAGTGAAGGATGGTCGAGTGTGGACCCCCCTTGCTCGAAACTCTTCTGCACAAACGTGGACAAGAACATCCTTGCTTCGAGAACACCAAGGTTAGAAAGTGAGAAGCTGAATAAGCAGTTTTCAAACGCAACATGGGACCAAGTCTCATCTGGCTGCAAGGGTTCATGCCAGTAATGTTGCCATGGAAAAGAAATGGAAAGCAGCCAATGAAAGTGAAGTGAAAATAATAGATTACCAAATTGCACGCTGGGAACGGGAGAATATCTTTTTACTGGAATTTTATGGAGAAACCCCCACACCCATAAAAAAATTAAATAAAAAAACTCTGAAAACTTGATCTGTTCTACCTCACAGGTACAACAAACAAACCGCGTCATCGGAGAACAACACACGGTTGTCCAGATCTTCACCTCACTTGAACCGCCGCTGTGCACAATAGTTGAGAAAACAAGAGCTTAGATCAAGATTGGAGGTAAAAATAGTCTTGATGTAACTGGACACACATACCAGCGGACTGTGCCTTTCAGCTATCGGACACAGTGGTGGAGTTGGTGGGGCCAGTCCGTCTGTGCACGGTCCTTTATTCACCTCATGGAGACAAGCTCCAGCATGGCAAACCCCCCCTCACACAAACACCCAACACTTGTCAAACCACATCTATTTACCAGAGGAAGAGGAGCTGGTTTTTATCCTAAAAATGGGAATTTAAACTTTTCCACTTTAGCTTTAAATCACATAATATTATTCTAAAAGAACACAGACGGGCAGTTCAAGGCCCGATGGGAGGAAAACACTTGCACCTGGGAAATTAGCTCACATAATGAGCACACCCGAAAAAATAAAACACTTTCTGTCCACTTTTGTCAGAGGGGGGGTTGACTGGCAGTGATTGCACACAACTGCCCTGCAAACAGACTCGTTTCTCTACTTGTTAGATTTCTGCAGAGCCCGCTCCACTCCCACTCACCGGCCAGGCGAAGCTGAAGGGCAAAACTATCCTGGACTTGTCGTTCCTGACAGAACTCCTGAACGCAAACGTATTCCCTCCGAGGACAGGCGTAGATCCCACTCCGAAGCTGCAGGGCCCCGCGGCGGACACCCTGGACTGGTATTCCTTCAGGCAGACTTTAAAAAACGTATCGCACTCGTCCCGCGTGCACTTTCTATCCGCGGCTGTCCGCGTGCCGTCGCAACACCCGCCGCTCAGCAGCTCCCCGTTCACATTGTGCATCGACAAGATTTGCAGCTCGAACTGTCCCGTTCCCACCGACACCTGTTGGGCAGACAGAATAAAAACAAACAAATGTTAGCTTGTTTAAGCTAACGTGAGCGGAGCGGCTGAACCGCGTGACCCCCTCACATACCTTCACGAGACAGCAGAGGAGTAAAAACGCAGCCGCGACCGCGCTCCGTCTCAAAATCATGCCTCCGGACTGCTGGTTCGCCACTCGCTTGTTAGTAGAAGTCCGGCCGAGACTCGGCACCACAGCTCTCCTCTGACTTAAACAACATGCACGAGCGGGAAGCGGCGCTTTGAATCTCGGGTCATAGGAGAGCTCCCGAGCGTCTGCTCTTCTTCGGCTCCACTTGTTGCTGGAGAAAGTTTAAACAGCAGCCATGAGGCGGCCGAGCCAGCGACTGACGGACTCTGACTGACTCAGTCTGAGCAGGAGCTTCACTAGGAGAGGGAGTGTCTGCATATTCATGAGCCGTGTAAGAAAACACTCCCTCACTCAGAATAATCACACGCACGCACACACACACACACACACAAACTTTGTGATAACATAACTTGTTTGTTCTTTCAATGCTGTGAAAAAGTTCGTATTATTTTTGTTTGAGTTACTCTTAAAATGTTTCAGATCAGTAAGTAGATTTCAGTATGAGCCCCAGGGGCGGATCTACACGAGGGCAACTGCCCCCAGCTCTAGATCTTTGCCCCCCTAATTTTACGCCCTTAACTCATTCACTGCCAGTGATGACTAAAGTCATCATTTGCGTTTTTTTTTTTTTTACTGTGTGGGCGTCAGAAAGAGCCCCCGCACTGTGAGAACAAACATCTCAGCTCTAAAGCCGATCTTCATCCGCATACATCACACGTCACGTAATCAGGAAGCAGAAAATCTATGTGTTAGGAGGTCGTTTTGGGCCGCTGCTGTAAAAAAAAAGGCGCGAATCGGAAAAGCTTCTGCCGATCACAATTCGACAACGGATTATGAAAGAACGGATAACGCTCAAAACGCGCGGATTCTTCCTGATGTAAGAGGTTAGTCCCCTCTTTGTTTTGGTTGTTTTGGCGTCGACATCATCCTAGCGCGCAACATTCTGTGACTTAAAAAAAACTGTAAAAACGGTGAGAAACGCTGGCAGCGAAGGGCTTTACCGATCAGGGAACGGCTGGCAGTGAATGAGTTAAATCACACATTAAGCTCTCCTAAAAGTTTAGGCAGAAATCAATCCTGTACAGTAGTTCAAACTGAGAAACTGTAAATCTTCCTTATTTTGAAATACTCTTAGAAGTGTATGCATGCTGAACTTGAATCTTTGGTTCAAATCCTCAAATCCCTTGAAACTTCATCCGCCGTTAAAGCAAAGAGAAGAAGGAGATCACATCCACGAAGAAAAACACTCCACTGCACTTCTCAAAAGATACTGGTAATAAGCCATGAGGTCACACGTATAGACGTTATCTCCATAGATTAGACATCACGTCTCTGCAGTAGACTTTTATTTTGAAAATTACCAGACGTTTTACACTGATACTGTGTGTGGATTCCTGTCTAGCCCTAATTGCGGAAACTGACGCATCCCAGAAGCATCCCACAAAGAAATAGAACCCAATTCAGGAAGCAGTAGCTCAGGAGGTAGAGCGGATTGTCCAGTAGTTAGAAGGTTGCTGGTTCGATCTCAGCTTCCACCAGAGAATGCTGCTTTTGTGTCCTTGGGCAAGGCGCTTAACCCATCTTGCCTGCTATGGTGGTCAGAGGGACTGGTGGTGCTTGCGCTGGGAAAGCCTCACCTCTAGTGTGCCTCAGAGCAGCTGTGGCTACAGTGTAGCTCCTCAACACCAGGGTGTGAATGTGTGTGTGTGAATGGATGAATGATACAACGTAGTGTAGGGATATGTATTGGTGAAATTCTGGTGATTCGATGCGTATCGCGATACAGGGGAGACGTTACGATATATCACCATATATTGAGATACATTCAGTCAGACGATATTAGCAATTTTTTAGACTGAATTTATTGTAGGAAAATTCAATAAACAGTCCAAACTGATTTATCTGAACCATAATAGAGGGATTTACATTTCAGTGGTGGAAACAACACCTATTGAACACTGCCGCTAACTAGCGGTCGGCATTTGAATTGCACCAAAAGAAAAGAAAATACACAAATGTTTGCATCTAAATCTTTCCAAAAATTAGATACACAGCTTTTGAATAATGATATAATATTAAAAATATCACAATTTATTGCATTATCGATATTTTCGACACGACTTTTGAATATCAATGGCTGGAAAAAATATCATAATGTATTTCCATATCGATGTTTTCGTACATCCCTACTGTTGTGTAAAGCGCTTCGGAGTCTTCTGACTCAGAAAGGTGCGATACAAGTGTGGATCAATCCCATCTTTGGTGGCACGGAGAACTGCTGCCTGAAAAGTTCTGCACTGCGGCCGGTTTGGATCCACCCATAGACTACGGGTTCTGCTACCATTCCGTGCCGCTGGTGCCCCCAGTGTGGACCCGGGGTTAACGTCACAGGAAAAATTAGCATTCATGGCCTTGCACACCTTGGCTTGCACCTGAGGAATGTATCACCTCTGCTGATCAAAAACAGCAACAGTCTTGTCTCACATTTACCAAAAACATCTTGCTAATCTTTTGGAAGATTAGGAAGAACCTTCTGGAATTTATACATGCGATTCAGTCTGACCAGCGGTCCGATGTGGTGGTGGCAGTGGGATGGTCTGGAGCTGTTTTGCTGTTCCGAACCACTTTTGCTGTAATTGCAGTAATTCAGCTCCCTAGCAGAAAATCCTGACCATTCACCTGAAGCAGAGCAATAATGCTAGAAAACCCTCTGATGTGGCGGAATTCAAACAATTCGGTAAAGAAGAGTGAGACAGAATCCTTCTATGGTGATTAGAAGAAACTCATTAACACACCTGATTGCTGTTATTGTCACTGAGAGTGTAACAACCTGTTATTAGGTTTAGAGGTCAATTAGCTTTCTACAAAGGACCAGGTTGACCCAGCTTTTCTCAAGTCATAAATAAAATCGTCGTTTGAAGACGGCATTTTGTATTAACTCAGGCTATTTTTGTCTACAAGATTACAATAAAGCAAAATCTGCAGAAATCTGTAGCAGCGCGGTACATATTCAATTTGAATGCTTTTTACTTTGATCTACAACATTTTTGTTAACTCTGGTTTTTAGAGTGCTATAGAGTTCCTTTTAGACATGCCTCAGTGGCTTCTCCTCCCCTTTCCTACAACAGATGATATCTTTCTGCATCTTGCATTCTACTCACCACTTTCCTTGTAATCTTACATCGTAAAGATGCATGTCATCTTAGAAGGTGCATACAACGTGTTTGCCATTTTTTCCCCTGCACCCTACATTTCTGTCAGGAAGCTGTGTGCTAAATCATCCAGACTGGGGAAAAGCTTGCATCAAGGCGACCTGTGAGCCAAGGGCGCATTCTAAAAACACAGTATGTTCAGCAGACCTTGGATAAAGAGCTGTTGGAGAAATTCTCAGCATTTGCAAATCTTAGGCATGTTTTCTAGAACATGCTTTAATTGTTCTAACGTCAATGACGACAAAGAAAAAGAAATGGCCTGACATTCGTCGAAAGTATAGCTGCAAATAATCAGCAGCTTTTAATACCAAAGCTTTTAACTAAGAATGTCTAATGTTGAGAAATTATGAAATTATAGCCGATTTGGTCAAATTTTGAAAATAACATGTAAGATATGACATTGTAATATCTTGTGTAATCTATTATCACATTAATTATCATGTCCTGATGATTGTAAAGCACATTGAATTGCCTCTGTGTTTGAAATGTGCTCTATAATCAAAGCTGCCTTGCCTCGCTTTGCCTTAATTTCTCAGTAGAAGTATTAATTAGACCTTTTTACTTTAGTTAATATAGAAAATACTGGTTTCAAAATCTACTTAAAGTATAAAAATAAATCCCATTAAGGACAATATAGCCACAGTTCCAACCCCCCCACCCCCCAAAAGAGTTTTTACTAAAGACCATAATAAATATATTTCTATATAAAAATGTTAATGTTGAGAAAATTGGGATACACTAAGGCACCTCTTACTGCTGTATACATGTCCATTGAAAATGACTGCAATCAGTGCAATGCAAATACATTAAAGAACCATATGTGGATGGTACAAACCAACAGGAGGATCTTTGAGGACATCTTTGTGCACATGTGCTAGTGATTGGGTAGCAAGAAAACACACAATGTGGCCTGCTATCAATACGTGACATACACTTTCAAGAGAGTTTGCAGGCGAAATTTCCAATAAAGAATTTTACACCTAAACACAGGAGGAGGTTTAGAGAGAAGCTTCCAATCTGTATTGAAGACATAATTTAAGTTTTTCAAAGTCCATGTGAGCTCTGGGAGGACGAAAGACGTTGGTCAGATTCACTGTTTATTTATTTTTTTTCACAAATTTATCCCCAATTGATAGAAAGCCTGTGATCCTTCACTGAAGAAAAGTTAAAGGCTTTCAACCGTCTGGAGGCCTACGATTACTTTGTTTCAAGGAAAGTTGGGTCGGTGGGTCATCGCCAAAGAAAACAGATAAATCCCAAAGTCTTCATTAATCAGTGTCCTTATTTATTTCTTTATTTATTATTACAATGATCGCAGGCTGAGACACCTGAATCAGAACACCAAAATCATATGTTTTTTAAAAAATTCACGAGGAGGTGTTTTCAGAAACATCTTTTGAAATTAATAAATACTTCACGAGTACTTACCACAAACAAAATGAACCTCACTAACTGTCTGTATCTGCAGGAATCCAGACTTTCTTCAGAGACTCTGGGTCAGCTGCAATCATCTCTTTTGTATTTCTCGGTCCTTCACGGAGGAAATTCCAATAAAACTTTTTACCAAGCCTCCCAATCAACCACACACCAAGGATGATCCATCTGCTTCACTAAAGCCTCCTCTAAACATGTAAAACAATCGAATTATAGGCAAAAGACACTGCCACCCAATCCCATGATGCAACCTGAAAATCATAAACAGGGATGTAATAAAAGATCCTCCTGTAAGGTGCCACAAATTTAGTAAAAAACTTTTTAATTGTCATCCAACCACAATCCAGTTCCCTCCATCGGGGTGGCGCGGTTCATCTGGATAGGTGGGTTGCTAACAAGCCGAAATGAAATGGGAATAAAACGGCTCTTTTTTAAATTTAAAAAAGTAGAAAGTACAGCTAACTGGGTGAAAATGTAAAAAGAAGTAAAAAGTCAGCTTGACTTCATTAGTATATAACGTTTACTTAAGTAACCTAACAAAGTATTTGTACTTTGTTACACCTGCATAATAAACCGTATAGTTAGCTGAGTTTTTACGGGTTTTGTAGCCTAAAAATCTAGACAGACAGGAGCAGAAGCAAC